TTAATGGATGATTAAGGATGACGGGCTGGATCACAGAGGGGTATTTTCGTCATTTCAGGTACATTGTGCTTAGGAGATGGACTAGGCCCAAACAACAAGTATTACACTAATTACAACCCTATAAATTATTAAGGATTGATACAGAATATGTGACAACTATAAATACACATATGTTTACCCATATTAGTTACAACTGCATAAAGTTGTTCCAAAAAGTGCATGTTAAACAAATATTCTACAACTTAAAATAAAAAAGTAAAAGAGGTCGCCCTAGTTAAACTCCGGGATAAACAAAGCGGGGCTTTGGGGGAAATCACTATTTCAAGCAGCGATTTTACCCATTTTTATCGCAAAACTTACACTTTTGCCCATAATGATAAATAAATTATTTTATCACAGTGATAAACTTGGGTTTTTCATAATCAAATCCTACATATAAAGTGAAAAAGCCTTTTGGGTGATAAATTTCACTATCCCCAATTTCCCCTCTCAAGTTGCGAAATTACCTTTCATATTCACAATTACAATTAGAAATTAAGAATTATTTTCTTAAAAAATGTCCTATCATAAGAGCATCTCCAATGGTTTAATTATAACAAGCTACTTGCAATATAAATAAAATATCTAGCTACATGCTTACCATTGGAGAATAAAAAAATGAGCAACATGCAAGCTATTGTAGCCCAAACAAGCAACATGCTTAATTGCTTGATTGAAAAAAAAAAGAAAAAAAAAGTTAAAAAAATAGAAAAAAAACTCACTCCAATAATAATATGACACGTGCGCAACTAATTAATTTTTCTTTTATATATATTTTAATTTTCTATAAATTACAAGATGTCGTAGCTTACCATTAAAACACTTTGTGGCTAAAAAGTGTTGTAGCTTAAAAATTGTTGTGGCATATTAAAGATGCTCTAACTACCCTATAATAAATTAATAACTGCTACCACAAAAATTGAAACTGCGCTTGATTTTCATTTCTTCTTTTGGAAAAAATTCCTCCTAATTTTGCTCATGTTTTTTTGTTGTTCTTTCTTCCTCACGCTTTTAGTAAATATTTCATCTGTATTATCAGTTTTACAACTCCTATTACACATGGTTGGTGAATCGGTAATTCTAGGTTGATGACGAACGTTGGTTAATTTTTTTTCCTTCTAATTTCTTAAATTGTACACGCGTAGCGTGTGCCTCTTAGCTTGTATAAATAATTACGATGCTTTCTAACAAAATTCCCTACCGTCCATTTTAACGGTTTATGTGTCCACCATACTCCTACTTTTCACAAATTCTCCAAAAAGGTGGATGTACATTAATTTATTGTAAGACGGGTTAAAGTTATCATAAAAGTATTTAAAGTTACCCTTTATACTACTTCCGTTTCACATTTTTTGCAATTTTTGCCAAATTTGTCCGCTACACATTTTTTGCAACTTTCCAAAATTTTCCATTTTTAGTAAAGTTTTTTAAAGGAAATTACTAAAACATCCTTACTAAAATTTTCATAAACTCAATTAATTACTTAATACAAAACTTAATAAAATACTCCATCAAAACTAATCTAACTTAATTAATTTAATTATTTCCATCAAAACTAATTCATTCCCCCCCAACCAACACCAATTCAATTCACCGAACATCAATTCAACCCTCATTCGATTTTTCCAGAATTCAAACCCTTGAAGTTCTTCTTCAATTCCCTAGTTTCTTACTTTATCCTTCAATCTGACTCTCTCTCTCTCTCTCTTCCCACGAAGCTAAAACACTGGGATGGCGGAGATCTTCGCATGGAGTACAATGACGGAAAGTTCACGTTGTATGGTGGTGGTTTAAACGACATTTTACAAATGAATTTAGGGCAAGTGGGTCGTTGGTTTTTATGATGAGGTTGTGGTATGATTTTTTTGGTTAGCTAGGGTAAGTGGTTTGGGTTTAATTTGTGTGGGTGTTTTACGGGGTGGCTGTGTGGTGGTTATGGGGTAGGTTTTAGGTTTTGGGTGGTATGGTTGTGGCGTGGTGTGTCCGTGTGTAGATGGTTTTGGGTTTGTGCTGGTGTGTGGTGGCTACGAGGTGGGTTTTAGGTTTTGGGTGTGTGGTGGCTACGGGGTGAATGTGTGGTGGTTGGGTGGTGCTTGTGAGGTTGGTGTTGGTGACTTGTATGTACTAGGTGGTGCTATGAAGTGGTGATGTTGCAGGTGGTTAATTATTAATCTATCCCCATTTTCTCTCTCCTTCCTTAATCAAATGCCCCTTTTTTTTCTTAATCTTCATTTCTCATTTTTTGCCTAGAAGTCCGTGTCGACTCCAAAGTTGCAAAAAAAGTGAAATAGAGGATGTACTACAAAAGTTACTATTTTTCTAATAATAAATTTTATCTTACAAAAAACTTATAATATATTAGATTAATCATATTAGCTTTTATAATATGTAATTATGAATCTACAAGAAATTACACATTAAAATAAAATTCAAACCAACGACAAATTAAAAGTATTTAAGTGGTTAAAGTTACATTAAAAATAGTTAAAGTTAACCTCAAAGTGACCGTATTACAATAAAATTAACGTACACCCGCCTTACACAAGACTTATTGCCTACTTTTTTACGGGGCTGCCCAGGTTAATCTCACCTGGCCATTTATCTTAGTGGCGTATTTGTAAATAATTGAACAATGAGCATTGCCATGTCAAATTTTATGTTTTAATTCTAGTTTTTATAAAAAGCTGTCGTGTAGTAACGACGTTAGAGTTTGACGACAAATGTCGTAAATTTCTGGGAATGGTTGCCAGCTACCATCTATCACTTCTAGAGTTTAGTCGTCGGCAATCTGAGTGTTCTCCAAGACTCCAACCATGGAAGGCTTTAGCTTGTAGATCTGAGCTTCGGTGGTGGTAATTGGTAAATCTAATTAATAAATTAGAACGATAACAAAACAAAATCAAACCAAAAATCATCAATTTCAATTTCATATGGGAATTGAAGAAATTTCAATCCCGACCTTCCACAATTGGGATCCAGCAACAGCAACCAAAAACAGCCATTGTTACCGTCACAAGCTTGCGAGACAACCACCATTACCTTCAGAAGCTTGCGAGCCTGCTACCTTCAACCATTAATGTTTCACAAACGGAGTGAATTTTCAAACAAACTCCCGTTACCAACGCCAATTAAATCATTAATTTCAAAATCGACTATTTCACCAAATGCCACTGAGTACTTAAAAATTCACCAAATGCCATCAAGGTTTTCAAAATTCACCTGATGTCACTGACAAACAGTACAATGACACCTCGTGCCATTATTGCATAGGTTTAGTTCTCCGTTAATGCAATTCTTATTTTACCAAATGTCATTACTTTGGAAAATTATTTCACCAAATGCTATTACTTTTTAAAATTAATGCACAATAATCATTTATTTTAATAATAAAAATAATACTTTTTTCTCGATTTTCGTGACAAAAATTGCTCGGGTAAATTTTTGTGGTCATTTTCATGGTTAAAACCTTACCCAATTAATTTTCATGTTAAAAAATAACGACACGCTAATTGAGATATTTTTCGACACACAAAACGGAGCATTTACGTTTTTTTTTGCCAATTCCGAGCTTAATTTGTAACCATAAAGGATCAAAATGACCACCAATACCTTACCCAATCAATTTTTATGGTTAAAAATAATGACACGCTAATCGAGATAATTTTCAACGCAAAAAACGGGGCATTTACATTTTTTTTTGCTAATTCCGAGCATAATTTGTATCCATAAAGAGTCAAAATGACCCCAAAAACCTTGCCCAATTAATTTTATGGTTAAAAATAACGACACGCTAATCGAGATATTTTTTAACACTCAAAATGGGGCATTTACATTATTTTTTTGCCAATTTCGAGCTTAATTTGTTTCCATAAAGGATAAAATGACCTCCAAAACTTTACCCGATTAATTTTTGTCAAGAAAATCATGACAAAAAATTATTTTTATTAATTAAAATAAATGATTAAAACAAACCAATCATATCATGACACGTGTTTTGATTTAATCTTAATGACTAACGGCCGTTAGTCATTAATGACATTTGGTGAATTTTTTAAAAGTTCGATGACATTTGATGAGTTTTGAAAACCTTGATGGCATTTGGTAAAATAACCGTTTCAAATTAAAATTCCCAAAAACCTGTATGGGAAAGTTCGATAATATCCCGTGATAAACAATGCAAGTTTCTCTCCGAGAGTAAGGCTCTATTCTTTTGAGCTTCTCGGCAGAGTAGAGCAGATTTCAGCAGAGCAGAGCAGGCAGAGCAGATTTCAGCATTATTATTATTATTACTAGATTTATTATTATTATTATTATTATTATTATTATTATTATTAGTTTTAATATCATCATCGTCGTCATCATCATCATCATCATCATCATCATCATTATTATAATTATTATGATTTTTTTAGATTTCTTTTTACTCTTTTTGTAACGTTAGAAAATGTGTTAAATAGTATAAAATATTAATTATTACCATTAAATATTAGTTATTATTATCAATTAATATTATATATTAATTCTTATTATTATTATTATCTATAAGTATTAGTTATTATTAATAAATATTAATAATTTTTATTTTTATGTTTATTAAATTTTAATTATTATTATTATTAATTATTAGTTTTAAACAAAAAAGAACAAATTTCAAAATAGGAGAGCAAAGGAGAGGAGAGCAGGCAGGGTAGGCAGGGCATAGCAGAGCAGTTTTAAAGAACATAGCCTAACTTGGAATTCCCCCTTTTTTACTCTCACCATTCGATCAGTACTTCCAAAAAAAAACATTTCGACACTATAAAAAAAAAAACGCTCGTATTCCTCTCCGGCTGTGGTGCCTGCCCCTTAACGCCACCACGCTCGGCGCCAACCACCACCTCTCAACGCCGCCTCCCACCTGTGGCAACCAGGGGCGGATCCGGGTTCATTGAACACAGATTTTTTGGAAAAAATTAAAAACTTTTTTTAAAAAAAAAAAAAAGCAAAATAGGTTAAATAGAATATTTGTGTATTTTCTGACAACAACAAAAGTTGGAGCCTTGTGGTTTTTATCACATCCCATCACACAAGAGTTTGTGGGTACAAAACCCTAACTTCTCAAGTTCTCAAAACCCTAACTTCTTCCTCCTCCTCTTCCCGTCTTCCGGAATTCCGGCTGTCCCTCTGTGACTCTTTGTCTGACCGACTGTCCGCAGCGGCGCAGCCTCGCAGACCCGCAGCCGTCTGGTAGTGAGGTAAGTGAATTTGGGGATTTTTTTTTTTGCTAAATCGTTGAATTTCATATGCTAATATACATTACGAATTGGGGATGTTTTGTAAATCGCTGAAGATTGGTTATAATTCGCTAATTTACTTCTCAAGTTCTCAATTTGGGGATTTTTTTTGCTAAATCGCACAGCAGACGACCAGGTTCCTTGCTCCACCGACGTCCGACGACGACCACACGGCAGACGCGTCGACGCCTCTAGCCTCCAGCCTCCACGAGTCCACGGTAGTCTGGTGAGCTTGCTGCTTCCCAGTTTCGCACTTGTTTAGTTGTTTGTTGTTAAGTTGTTTCTTGTTTGTTGATTGTTGATTGTAAATTACTTAATTGTTGATTGTTGCTTATTGCTTGTTAATATGAGATTACGCGTACTGCTAGTTCAAAAATGCTAGAGTGAGATGGACAGATATTATTACAGAAGGATGCTGATCAGCTTGCATTATTATTTAGATATGGACATATTGTCAATGTTCATAAAAAAATGTTAGGTTCAAAGTTAACTGAAGGCATAATATAAGCCAATCCCAATTATACATAAGAACCTAATTATTTTCTAAACAATCAGGATGATATGTCATTAAATACAAATAAAACAAGATTGAGAAGACCAAACTAAAATCACTAATAATTAAGCCATTAAGCAATAATTCATCATTTATTTAAAAAAAAAAAAACAGTTCAGCCAAAATATACATATTAATAATAATATTAAAAAAGAAATATTAGGAAAAGAAAAAAGAGTCAAAAATTCTTTTCAAATTATTCTCTGCCTTTTAGGAATCTCGAAGAATGCTTCTGTAAATTTTTTTTTTCTATTTGTATTGTGTAATCTATTTGCAATCCATGATTTGAACTTATGTATTGAATATTTAATTATTATATTTTTGTTCCTTTGTTAATTATGATTTTGAACTTCCGAAGTTTCGAACCCCCTCTTTGGAAATCCTGGAGACGCCACGGGTGGCAATCACTAGCAGAGTTCCTGCAATTAAAGAGGTTAGTTTGCCCTAATTTGATTTTTTTAACTAATGTATAATTGATGTTGTAATTGCTAATTAGACTCAAAATTGATTAGTATGGCTTCGCTTGAATTTTTTCGTTTATTACAGTAATTTATGTCAAACCGCTAATTGAAATAAATTAGTTGAGTCGTTTATTGATCAATTGGAGATTGATATGATTAAATAATAAATGTCAGAATTTATGTTGGTGATTAAGTTAGATAATTGAGTGGTTAGTTAATGTTGTAGTTTCTGAACTTCTGTTTGATAATCTAACTAAATTCTTGAATTTGATGGGTTTGTATTTGGGTATGATTCTTATGAACAATAATCACAATTGATCAATTGTGGATTTGTGGGTGAGTCGATTGGATTTCAGATTTAGTAAGTGGAGAAATTGGAGGAATGTAGAAAGCGGTATGAGTCACAATGTTGACTAGTGAATTAATCATTAATTTTGGTTTAAATTTTAACTATTATGTTCTTAATCAAAGCAATTATATTTCTGAACTTATAATGGTAAAGTGGGTTACAAGCCTCCCAACAAAGTGTGGTAAACTAGTACTTTATCCATCCTTTAAAATTACAACAATTTTACCGGAACCAACACACAATACAAAACTATTTAATGAAAGTATATACTGAGATAAATCCAACATCATCTTCCATTGCTTTTCTATATATTAGTAATACATATGTTGGCCTTGGTTATTGGCTGCTGGCGGTTGGCTGGTTCATTTGGCTTATTTGATGTTTGGTAAATTTAGTTGGTGGACGTTGGTTGTTTATTAGATAATTTGTGGGCCAACAAACCAAAAGCCAACAAAAAAAAAGCTACTCATAACAGCTTTTTCATTTTAGCTTAAAAGCCAGCTTTGTCGTCGAATGAAAAGACAATTACCAAACACTTTTTTTTTGCTGTTTGACCACATAAAAAAACCAAAACCCAAAAGCTAACCAAAAAAGCCATTTACCAAGCATGGTCGTTGTCTAAGTTAGTACTCCCTCCGTCCCTTATTTACATGGCTACTTTTGTTTTTGGGGTTTCAGAATTACATGCCTATTTCTATTTAAAGAATGTACTTTTTGACAATATTCCCTCTTTTTGATGAGTTATTTTCATTTTTCTTTTATTTTTATTTTTACTTTTGACATCATTTTCAATACTTTCTCTCTCCATCTCTTTAATAATTACCAACTACCTTTTCTTTCTCTCTATCTCTCTCTATCCCCACATGTATATTTGTACTTCCCAATCATGGCTTTTAAGGAATATCTAAGTTCCTTAATTCCTGTGTAAAATGGGAAATAGGCATGTAGATAAGAGACGGAGGGAGTATATGAATAGAGCAAAGTTGTTGCAAATTTAAGGAAACTAAGCAAGAATAGTCTTCAGATTTGTTACTTATATAAAAGGGTGAAATCATGGCCTCATTTATTTAAGACTTTGAGTATTATTCTTTTCGGACAATGCTAACCCCATTGTTTGAAGACCTTGTCATAGTGAACAGTGCTGAATGGTAATGTGGGTGTTTTTGCTCTATAATTTGCATTCTTTGCTACAAAGGAATTTTTTATGTCTCACAAATAATGCCCCTTTGTCGTAAATAATAAGAAACAGAGGTAGTACATTTTATACTCGTAATTTGTTAGAACTACTTTAAGAGTAAGAGGTGATTGGAAGTTTTGTGGCTCATTTGTACTATTCTATTGCTATTTATAGAAACAAATAATAAACAAACAATCAAATCAATCCATCAATCAACCTTAATCCCATGATTGGGTAAGCTACATGAATTAAATCTTCCTCATCCATCCCTTACGATCAAATAGCTCATTCTCATGCAAATCCATATGCTTCATATCCTTTCTAACTCTTTCCAAACAAGTCATTTTTGGTCTCCCTTTACCTCGTTTAACTCCTCCATGATCTCATTCTTCGTACCGGTACACCATGGAGTTTCCGTCTTACATGCCCAAACCAACATAGACAATTTTCCTTTAGTTTGTCTTCAAAGCCTGCGACAACCACTTTTTTGCGAAATAACTTCATTTTTGATTCTATCTCTTAGAGTGTTCCCGCACATCCATCTTAACATGTGCATTTCCGTAATCTCTATCTTTTTAATGTGCTTCTTTTTAGAAGCCCAACATCATAGAGCAATACTGGTTTTATTGCTGTCCTATAGAATTTCCCCTTAACTCTAAAGGAATGCTTCGGTCTCATAATTAACGTTGAGAATAAAACCAACGACTTAATTTTGCATTGAAGTAGCTATTGATGTCCTTATAATCAAAGAGCCGTTGTATCATTTCATTAATTAACAAAAAATGCAAGAAAGCAGGAACACACATAAAAAGAGGAGCCCACTCTTAAAAGATGTTACTTGCTCCATGTGAAGTAATGTAGCTTTGGCAAGCTACAAAGAATCAACAGGCTACAGCATATGTGCTCCACACTGATACTTTTCGTGCTCTATTTTATAAAGACTTGCAAATGCTTTTATTCTCAATTATTAATTTGTTAATTTAAAGTACCAAATCGGTTCTAGAGTCTGGGTGTTATAGAATTTGGGAAGAAAGCAGATGCATGGGAATCAAGGAGTGTTAGGGGCCGAGGTTTAACTATATAGGTAAGGGGTTGAACTAGTGGTCAGCGGAAGTGGAATATTGATGTGGGCGATAGGGGTTTCTGCAGATAGAGAAAGAAAGATGGCAGGGCTAGGTTTGTGGATGATAAGATCTGCCTTCTTGTTAATCTGCTCTGCTCTTGCTTCATTGCTGACCTTTGGGACTCCATCATTTCTGACATTAATTATGTCCTCTGGCCAAACTTCTGCACAATATCCAAATTTCGATGACAATATTTTTCCATTGATTTTTTTAGCTGAAATGGTTGGTGTTTGAGTGATGTTTCTTGACAAATAACTTGTGAGATTTTGGCTAGATAACTGGCGCTTGGTGGTAGTGTATCAATGTTTTGTGTGAGAAGCTAATGGAGTTGACGAACATTGGTCATCAAGGTTAATTTGATGTATTTACAAAAGTAATCTCTTAGGGTACATGGTGAATCTAAACATTAAGGGTATATGATGAGTAATTGCAAAATTTAGAGGTATATGATGAAAATATAGTCGTTATATTTTTATTATTTTTATATTATTTAGTGATCACTTTTTTTTTACTCTGTATTTGTTTAAATTGTTCTTGCCGTTTTATTTTTCCAACTTAAACAATACTTTGATATTCTTGCTAACTTTAAAAAGTCATGCTCTCTTTATTTTTTTCTTTTTTCCTTTCCAAATTCACCATAATTGCAAAGAAAGAGAAGTCTAAGTAGCTTGGAGTTTTGGTACATAAAAAAAAGCACAAAACCAAATCATCAGGGCAAGTGGAGAGATGGGGACCCGAGAAGTGTATGAGGAGAAGCTTCGAACTGGAAATGCGTATCACCATGTTCCCACCATCAATCCTGGCCTCGGCACCCCGCGATGCCCTCGTTGTCTCTCTCTCCTCGACTCTGAATCTGTATATTCTCTCAATCTAATTATTCTGTGTGCTTTCTCTTTGACCTTTTCCTTCATTTTTTGCTCTTTTTTCGCTGCATTTTGGTATGAATATTAACTGTTCGACGATTTGTCTCAAAGAATTTTCTTGCTATGCTGACTATTTGCCTTTTTGGGTTTCTTGTTGATTCAGAGGAGTGGTGAATGGACAATTACTCCTGTGTTGCATGATGCTACGACTGTGGTATGATTCCTGTCTTCTCTCTTTTTGTTTGTGTATACCCGAACATAGTAAGCGAGCTGCCTATACAATATATTTCTTGCAGTTTCTATTGCTCTCAGAAATTGTAGACCAACTTTGAATTTTGTTAAATTTTTGGATGGAACTTAATTGTTTATATTTTTTTAACTGTCTTGGTGAAGGTATGAGTACATTATTATGTTTCTGATTTCATATGTGATTTATATGGTGTTAGTAAAGATGATCTAAGGCGGCATTGTACAACACTTCCCTGTGAAGGACATGTCTTTGCCAAGAATTAATAACTTTGTGCCTAATGTGATAAAATTTAGTGTACTTTCTGATATGGTGGTGAGAGAGAGTGAGAGACAATTGAAACACTCAAGGTGTTAATTGGATGTGTTTATAGTTGTTAGAGGATTTGGAGCTTTTTAATTTAATGTATATTTTTTATGTTAGAGCTAAGTGTGGTCATTGTCATTGTCTTAGTTCCCACTTTGGATCCTTCCATTGTGTCTTGGCTACATATAGACTTTGCATCTTGATTTCAAGATTTGTTTGTTGGGCTTTAATGGGTTCAAGTTTGCAATGCTTTCTGGACTGTTGAAGTTTATTGAAAAAAAATTAAAGGCTTGGAGTGTAAATGGGTTGGGAACACTTAGTTTAGACAGGGAAGGTCATTCATTCTGGATGTAGAAAAAAAAAAGAAATGAAGACGGAGAGTGCTGCTTGTGATTGCAGGAGTTACTTGTAGTGAGTTGGTTGGAGAGGTCGAGATGACCATGCATTAAAAGTTTGCCTAGTGGGAGAGAATGGGCCCAGGTTAAAGATTGAAAGCCAATACATTCCTCTGTTTGTTTAACAAAGGAGTTAGTTGAGGACTGGAGTTTGTTTAACAAAGAAGTTAAATGAGGACTTGAGGTGTGCATAACTTTGATAAGATATGTGGAGGATATTTTCTATGGAATCTCTTTTTTTTACATGAGATAATCTATATTTATTGATCAAGCCCCTGTCTTGAAGCAGCTTTGATTTTTGTTTGGTGTCTCTAAAGGTGATTTCTGATCACATGTTAGAAATTTTTTGAGAGAGTCCATCTTAAAGTATGTATATGAGTGTATGGGTTGTCTGTCAAACTTGGAAATCCCTCCTTTGAGTCTCTGTTTGAAAACAGGATTTGTTTGTTAAATTCAAGAATGTTGTTCTTATTATTGTGCCTCCTGATTTCCTGCAAATTTGGTCTAAATTTTTGGCCTATCAATCTCGTGAAATGATTTTGCAATACTTGTCTTTTAATGCGTAGCTAGATGCAAAAGATTATTGCTGCTGCTGTTATGCTAGATAGTTGGTTGCTGATATAAGGAGGGCCGATGAAGAGGGTGCTTTTTTGACAAAGTCATGAAGTAAGAGCTGTAGTTGCCTAGGTGGATGGTGGTGTAGGTTGTTTCTATTCTCTCCAGCTGTTGGCTTTAAAAACCAGCCAATGGACACTGCCAAAGTTTCCTTTTTCTCATCACTCGGTGGTGATGTCTGGATAACTGTGATTATAAAGTAAATTCTTACTCTGATTATCTTGCGGTAGTTGGCATTTGTTCCTTTTGCAGCTTGAGATTGTATCGCCTTGTTTTGAGAAACTTATTGGATACTTGTAAATGTCTTGATTGTCATCCCAAATTTGTGTATCGTTTAGTTAGTCTTGGATAGTTGTGAGTTCAAGAATTTCTCTATTTCTTATTTAGGACTCCCATTATGGGATATTATTCGTGGCTTTATGGGATTAGTTTTTTGAATTCATAGAAGATTGAATGAGTGTAATAGGGGTCTTTTGCTTAGTGGAACAAGTCCTGTCATCATCCCTTTTAAGGATTCCCTTCTATTTGGTTCTTAAGATTAGAAAAAACTGTGAGAGGTCTAAGGATATTTTAAGAGAGAGTCTATTAAGAGAGATCTCTTAACAGGGTTGGACCTTGTGGTTGAATTGACTGAAGACGAGGGAAGTTGGTTTTCCTCAATTGTTTAAAAACTTCTTGTGATTGGTTATTGACTTTGGCAGCTTTGAAAGAGCTGAAACTGCAAAATGGTGTATGGAGTATAAAATAGGAATTGTTTATGGATGTGGCAGGTGCTAATGCTTCTAGCCCATGAAAGTTCAATTTGAGGTCAGAGTTTGAATGGGTAACAAACATCTGGCCTTTTTGGAAGTTGCTCCCTTGGATGCTGTATATTCTAGATTATGGAGTCTGAGTGGATGATTTCTCTTTATGGTTACTTCTTGTCATTCTTTCTACAATCAATTGTAAACCATTACAAGACTTTTTTTATGAGATGGTTTTCCTTTTTACTCAAGTAGCTTGGTATTTTATTTTAGTGTTTTTTGTTTATGCCAATTCGTGTTTTATGAACTGTATTGATTTCCTTTGGTAAAGTTTTCTCAAATCTTAATCTTTTTTTTTTTACTCACACGTTTTTACCACTCCTTTAAAACTTTCTTGAATTTTGTTCTTGGTTCCCTTTTAAAACTCTCTTAATTTTTACTTGGATGCTCTTTTTTATTTTTCCTCACTTTACACACCTTTTTTCAAACTCTTTCAATTGATTATCCTGTTCTATCCTTTTTTCTATATTGTACGATTCCTTATGACGATTCATGTTAGCAGACCCTTAATTATTTTGGGATTAAGGCTTTGTTGTTGTTGTAGTGTTTTTTGTTTATAAGACTGGCATTCTTTGTCCATTCTTTTCCACAGTTGGAGGACTCAATCTTGTCCTTACAGGTTATGCTAAGATTTGTTAATGAAATGGATTTTTTTTTTTCCTATTCATTTACGCCTTTACAGAATACAATAGTTTTTGCATTGGGATCAAGGCATTCACATCGTTCTGCTTTTACTTTCTTTTTCTCCCCCTAGGCTTCGTCTCTAAATTTTCTCCATCCCATTTAGCTAAATGTATATTTGTGGACTATTATGTAGGCCGGCTGTGGGATTGGAGGAATGCTAAGTGCTACTCATGTTTTCAACACTGGTAATTTCCACTTTTACCTTACTTTCATTGAAAAGAAGTATCTATAGCCTAATGATACTTATTCTTAGGTATACCTTTCGTCCAGAAGTATGTTAAAGGACCCAAGTGGCTTCCATTTGTTGTTGGGGTAAGTCCAATCCATGCACAGGCAATTGTAAATTTATCGTAATATATACTGACCTTCATTTCTGTAAATCTTATTTTTAGCTTAATCTTACTGTAATTTCTGTACCTGCTGCAGCTTCCACCCTTACTTTTGTCTTCAGCTGCATGTGCTGCCTTTGGTGGTAAGATTTGATTTATATCATACTGTAGAATGTCTATTTATTATAATATTTTAGGGTTTAGCTGTAGGTTGATTGTCGGCGCATGATAGTTGCTGAAAGTCCTTAGGAAGTTGCATATACAATCTCTTGTGTAAACAAGATCGTTCAGAAAAAATTGCCTTTTCTCTCATTTAAATTATTTGCAAATTGGTAGAACTTTGTTAAAAGACTCCTATATTACTCACTGCTTAGAGATATTGGCATAAACTTTTAATTTTTGTTGTTTGTTCAGTCCAAGTAAATCAGGGAATCAATTTGTTTGATGTCATTGATGGTTATATCACTAGATTAAGTACTATCAAACAATGAGTTGAGGCCAGAAGGCAAAGGGTTGGTTTTTACAATTTTGCCTCAATAGTTTTGATCGAGGATAGTAAAAAAATTCTGAATCTCTCAAGTTCTAACTACTCTCACCAGTCAGGCAGTCACCCTACATCACCACAGCATGTCTGGGCTCTCACAAAGCCTCATTGGCAATGTCTTATAATGTCTGTCAATCTGATCTAATGGCCTTTGACTATTTTTATGACCACACTTGTTGAGCTTTATTAATGCATTGGCGGTTTTCCTTCCAGTGTCAACTGACTAATCCACTTGTTGCTCATCAGACTCTTCACCAAACCATTACCTAAACCAAATGTTGGCTCAAATAGTATAAATGGCATTGGTTACGGAAAATATGACAGCTTGGATCTCATTTGGCATGATTTAGTATTAAGGGTCTCTGATTATGGCTGTGTGACTAAGGTATTGGTTTGTGTGGATCCTTGGTTATTGGCAATCTTATGGCGAGGTCTGTGAGTTAGAGCTCAGAGAGAGTGATAGCTTTTGGATAAAGAGTTGGGCTAACAACACCCCCCCCCCCCTCTTCTCAAATAAATAAAGAAACTAAAATTTCAAACCTGCTTTTGTTTGGTTGTATCTGTCCTAACATGAGATGTAAGAGTAGAGAATTACTTGAGCTTTAAATTACCTTGAAGGCAAATTGAATTTAGATTCTATAGGTTTTTGATGAATTAATTTGATTCAATAGAAGTAAAGGAAAAGAAGAGAAAGTAAGGGAAAGGAAAAGAAAGGAAGAGAAGGGAAAGGTGGCAGATTTTATTTTCCAATGTTTGGTCAAGGAAAGGAAATAATGGGAAGAGAAAAGAAGTTTGATTTACAACTTTTATTTTTCTCTTTCAGGAAAGCTAAAAAAATAGTGTAGGGGCTTCCCTCCCAGTTCCTTTCCTTTTCTTTTCTTTGAACTCTCATGTCATTTATCAAACCAAACATGGGATCATAATTAAAACCTTTTCCATTCCATTCTTTTTTAGCCAAATCTCTTCAACTAAAAAGGCCTCGGCTTAAAAGTAAAAAGTTATGATAATAGGGAATTTTTTCTTCATTAACACTATGTTAGGATAGAGAGAAATGGATGGAAAGGAAGAGGAGAAAGGGAGGGAAGCATCATCCTTTGTTTGGATATGTTATAAAATGAGGGAAGAGAAGTCAATCTTCCTTCCCCTTTTAATAAATCAAATCCCTCCATTGTTGGAGAGATTTAGTAGGAAAATGGAAGATCACCCTCTCCCTCCCTCCCTCCCTTTCCCTTCACTATTGTTATCCAAACATAATTAGCTTTTATTTTCATAAAGTTTTGAGGGAAATTTCTGAATTACCCATTGTTGCCTCTCTTTTGTGTTTCAATGTAAAATAAGCAAATTTTAACCATAGTATTGTTATTATTCTTTGCAACAAAATTAGTGACACATTTCCCAACACAAAAATTTCTTAATGTTGTTAATGAAAACAAGGGTTATGTGATTAACGGTAAAGAGAAAAAAATAAGGATAATTAATAAATTAAAGGCAACCACCACCAACACCACGTCATCACCCATTCAACCTACACCAACACCAACACCTTTCTCAACACCACCCTGCCACCACCAACATTCACCCTGTTAACCACCACTAAAACCCACCCTCTCTCCAAAAGCACCACTACCCACCCTCCCGCTCCCCGAAAGCACCACCATCCACCCATTCTCTCCCTGAAACAACCACCACCCACCCTCCCGCTTCCTAAAACACCACCATCCACCCTCTCTCTCCTCGAATCACCATCATCCACTTAAGTTTTAAAAAGCGTGCCTAGGCGCAAGGCTCACAAAAGCGCACGTCAGTGAGCTTTAACCATTGCAGGCGCAAGCACCTACAAAAAGTGAGCGCCTTGGTGCGCCTCATACCGCCTTTGCCAAGGCGCAAGGCGCTGCGCCTAGGCAGCTTCAGGTTCAAACGCGAGAGAAAGGGAAGATTTGAGAAAATCAATAGAAAAAGACCAAAAAAATTCAAATTAAATCTTACCCAGACTTTGTTTTACATTTTCGAGTTAACCCCTCAATCAATTGCATGAAGTAGCGTCAATTTTACCCCAAAATCAAAAATCCTAAATATGAGAAATCCTAATTTGCGAATTGTCAAATAATTGGGGAAATTTGTTGTTGCTGCCGCAACAGAGGTTGCCGGTGAGCTTTTCCCGGTGGATTCCGGCACCGGAATTGTCACCGGCAATCTCTCACAGGTTAGTCTCTTCCTTCGATCCTTTTTCTTTCCATGTGAGTTTTTTTTAGATTAGTTTTTGAAATTTAATATGAGTTTTTTTTAAATCAGTTTCAGATATTTAATACCGAGAAAGCAGAAAAGTAAATGTAAAAAATAAAATTTTGCGCCTCATCTACGAAAGGCGCGCGCCTGCGCCTTGCGCCCAGGCTCCACGGACCCTATGCGCCTCGTTGCACCTCTCGCCTTTTAAAACTAAGCCATCCACCCACCCTCTCCTCGAAACAACCACCTCCCAGCCTCCCTTTCCTCGGAACCTCCATCCACCTACCCACCCTCCCTCTCCACGAAAACCACCACTATCCCCCCCCCCCTTCCCGAAACAACCACCACACATCCTCACTCTCCCGAAAACACCACCAACCACCCTAATAATATGAAGATAAAAAGATTAAAATTGGAAATTATTACCCTCTCATCATCAATTAGGGGTTTATTTGGTTAAATTTAACCATAAAAATCTCAACCTTAAGCTTTAATGGTGTTTTTGAACAAAAAAAGAGAGGAAAAACCCGATGGTGGGCGCCACAGCGGTGACGACTTTAATGAGGGAGGAAGAATTGAGGGTGACTTGACCAGTGGTGGTGGTGGTTGTGAGTGGAGAAAAAAATATGATGGTGGTTGTAAGAGAAGAGAGAGAAAAGTGGTGGTGAGGGTGGCCTGAGAAGGCTGAGAGAGAAAATGTGGTGGTGTGGGTGGTGGATGTGATGGAGGATAGAGGATGTGGGTTAGGTTTTTATCGAGGGATGATTAAGTTTGGTTAATAAGTTAATAACATGTCATTTAATGTTTTAAATGAATTGAAATAAGGGTTTGTGGGTAAATTTACTCACAAAAATTTAATATAAAGAATTTTATTTTATTTATTTATTTATTTATTTTTTCACATAATGTGTAACATCCCGAAGTGGCAAAAGTTGCACAAAATAAAAAATGGAGGTAGCATTATACTTTGGTTACCCAGTCATATCAGGTTATAAATAATTTGCCTTGACTTAACTGAACATTTGGTTACCTATAAATTGAGTAATCGAACTTTCGTTTCTGTTGAGTTCAAGTATTGTATTAAACATCAATATGTACAAGCCCATCCTAAAAATAGCTCTGGTTACTGATTATGTTGAGGTAAAATCAATGGGTAAACACTTTTTAGAAATGATTCATGCATAGATTTACAAATGTTAAAGGCTCAAAACTAGTAATGGCGATGATTAAAGGAACAAGTATTATACGCTGATAGTGTTTTATAGTTGGCAGTGCTAACCGTAAGGTTGTGAGATCTAAGATAATAAGATGCAATGCTGAGTTAATGCTGACTTATAAACTCAGGATCTATATGGACAAAAATATCTCCTAAAGGTGTTCTTACCAGTTGCCACCGAGCCACTATTACTGTTAATGTTACATTTCTAGACGTATTGTATATATTGGGGTAGGTTGTGTGCCAGAAATTTGCAAAACTATAACTGAACTTGAATTAAACAAATTAAAACAACCAACCTGAAACCAAACTTTTCGGTTTGGATACCCTATTTTTGTTTTGGTTTTCCTGTTATGTGTACATTGATGTATCCTTCTTGCATCAGCTTAGCCAGAAAGTTAACTAAAATTGGAAACTGTCCAGTTACACTATGTCTGAACAATCACAGTGTAGGGAAAGGGATGGGAAGGATAAAGAGGGAAGAGAAAGGAGGGACAGAGTGACCCTTTATTTTTCTTCTAAATCTCTCCAACAATTGAGGAATTTAGTTTATTAAATTGGAAGAAAAATGGACCCCTAAGGGAAAATGCATCCCTCACTTGCCCTCCAAAATTTCATATCCAAACATAATTTTAAAGAAAACGGACATCACAAAAACTTTCAGTGATGGGCGCACTAGTCTCAACTCTTGATGTCATACCTTTATCAATCTAATTCCCGATTTAGCTAAATAGTAGCCATTGTTTTAGACTCCTTTTCCAACATTCAGTGTAATTGGCGGAGCTGGGAAGGCAATCGGGTTCAATGTGGGCTGATGAACAGGAGGCAGACTGCAGGTTAGGGATTAGGATATGGGTTGAAAGAGTAAAATTAGGAGGCAATGGGGTGTTTGTCTTAATGTTTGTTCTATATTCAGTAATCTAATTGTCGGGCAAAGAATAATATCTTAATCAATATGTATTTCCATGCCAGCTTGATATTAATATTGTTACTGAAACAGGAACTTGATTTTCACTAATTATCCAGGGTATACTGGATTTTTTCTCTTTTTGTTCGCTCTCATGGTTGAACTTATATCTGCTAGCAAACTTTCAGCTTCTTCTAATGGAATTAGTCAAATATTTTACAAAGTTATTTCCGTTTTCTATCTATTGTGAATACATAGTCACTTCATTCCTTTCTAGTGATAGTAGTGAAGCATCTAGGGGAAAATATTCTTCACAGGAACAAAGTATACATGTAACTACCCTTACCCACTAAACCATTCTATTGGCGAGAGGCTTTTCTGAGTGCAAGACAAGGAGTCAATCAAAATGTTAATACAACTAGAATCTAGTCTCTGGTTTGATTTCTGTACAATGTATATGTTTAAGAACAAATTTTCCAGAACTCACTTTGAAATTATTTAAAAATTTAAAGCAATTTACAGAAGAAATAAAAAATAATTAGGCACATTTTGCCCTTTCAAAGCAAACTAGAAGGAAATATCTTTTTTGGATCTAGCGTTGGAGTGTGAAAATTTTGTTTTGTTAAGGAAGTTGGAAGCCACAAAGTTTTTAAATTGATAGGGTAAGATGGGACTCGGGTATGCCATTTGTGGTCATGGCTCAAATTATTGGGGCAGAGGTCTTCTTTAAATGGATGATGTATTTTTAATTTCACTGCAGGGAGAAGGAAATATAATTAGGAAAATAAAATGGAGATGAGGGAGAGGGACACATTTAGCTTTCCTACGTTTTATGCTTTTTTAGAGTTTTCATTTCGCTCTTTTCACCCTTTCTTGTTTTCCAGGCAGAGCATTCTTTCTTTCTTTGGTTTGTTTTTCTTTTTTTTTTTAATAAATTATTTATGGTACTTGATTGATTCAGTAAAGTTTGAATAGGTGGGCAAGTAATGTGCTAACATGAATTAAAACTCTTGCTATTTTCAAGTCTATTGTAACTTAATGTATGTCTGTGAAATGAGTTGATTAAGGCATCAAATGTGCAGGTTATGCTCTTCCTAAATTTACCCAGCTTACTGTGACATCATATTATGCTGCTTCAAGCGCTTCACACTATGGGATCTCTCTACTTACTAGACACATTGAAGAGGCACATATCTCAACCTCTCAGCAAGAGAAACTGTGATGATGATGATGCGTGGAAGATGACTTGGGTGACACAGCTGTTGCTTTGCTTGTACCAGGTTAATGTTTATGGCCATTTTCCGTAATGCATTTAACTAGAAAATTCTAATATGTCTGGATTTTTCGTCACTTCCCCCGTCCCCTCCCTCCTCTTGTGAAGTACGACTTCCACCTTTTCTGAATTTAGCTGTCACATTACTAGTTAGGAATACGTCCAACCTTTTTATCTATATATTGTTAGGAATTGTGAATTATACTTGAATTTTAAGGCAGTTGTAGCCGAGTTATCTGTATAGTTGAAGATATTTAAATCTTTCATAATAAAATAGAGATATATGAGTGATCTGACATTTACTTTGTTGATCTTTGCACATCCAATGTTATTTCATTGTCCTTTGCAACTTGCAGTAGATATTTTGCCTTGCTTTTGAGCTTAGTTTTAGAAGCAGCTTATAAACAATCAGCTTGTAGTTTACTAAATTGGTGGTTCATTGAGCCCACATAACCCACATTAATTTGTGGGAGGAATAACTAAAGTCCAACCTTTCTTGCTCCAAAATTATTCGAAAGAGAAGAAATGTGGGACTTGTAACCACTTAGAATAGTTAGGCTGGGCCCAAATTTGTCTGTGTTATGGCCCCAAGTCATGTCTGATTTCCACAGGCCCAGTAATCTGCTGTGCAATTGGGACAGTTGGTGACGGGCCAAAGAGTTAAAACCCCATGTCATTATTCTTGAAGATGGTGGCATCCTACCTTTAAACGATAGAAAATGATTTTATTATTTAAAAGGGATTAAGAAAGGTTTAGATTAGAAGATACTTCAATCATGCTGTATTGCTGTGTGACAAAGAGAGACATTTTGATGATATTCAATGCTTCTTACTATGCTACTCGGACTGTTCAATTTACCTCATATACCCGTGTCGGATCCTCAACAAGAACACTTCATTTGGGGCCAAAATCATGAATTTTTCTCTCTATATAGCAGACTTTTTGGACATGGGTACCTGAGTGCAAGTAACATAGACTACTGCTCTTCTATATTCAACATCCCAATCGATCTTATTCAAACCAAAATCTCTGTAAAATCTGCTTTTTCCACTCTTTAGTTTCTTTTTTTGGGTGTCTTTCTCCAGAAAATCCATGATTGATTACTCGACTTGGGATCATAGTTAAAAAATGAGACATTACTCGATCATTTGACTGATGAAATAGGTTTAGTTCAGAAAACGAGTTACCGTGAACCATGAGCTACCGAAGCTCAGGATTTTGACTAACTGAAACTCGACGTCAAAATTTCCTGTTTCCTTACTAGACATATGTTTGTTGAACTGTTGCAACCCTAAATTTTTATAGTCAAAGTTTGTTGCCGTCTTAGCTTGATTGTGTTTTTCACTAAAAAATTACAACTTTAAAGGAAGCTTTAGTTTTCGAGTTTGGTTAAGAATTATTTTTGAAATTCTTCATAGGAAACTTCTTTTTCCACAAATCATTGCTAGTTGAAGTAAAGGTTTGAGGTTTTTCTTTCCAACTGTTTTGATGTCAACTTCACTTGTCTACTTGCCACTTCTCAACTAGATATTTTTTTTGTGTTTTTGATTCAAAATTGATATTATCTTGTACTGTGTGGTGTAGAGTACTTTGATGTGTTTCAATTGATTTGCCAAAATATTATGTGGATCATATAATATTATTAGGTCTGACAAAAAACCGACAATTTTCTTTATAAGTCTAGTATTTGTATGATGGATATTCTTCATATTATTTCTCATAAATACTTGGATAAATGATGAGGACAAATCGCAACTATTGCGACTGCCCATTTAAAGCTCCCAAGTTGTATAAGGGAATTTCAAAAATATAATTTTGTTCCTGGAATTTGGAAATATTATGTCTTATTGTTTATTTTTGTTATAAAATATTTGGAATATTATTTTAGAAATATATGAACTCGTTGCTTTTTCCTACTTCTGTCTCCATTTTTAAAAATCGTTATATGAGAACTAATACTAGTACAATAGGTAAGCTCTGAATTGATTGAGTTATTATTATTGATTTTAACTGTTGTACTCTTCTGAGTGTTTTTTCTGGTTAGAAATTTAATGTGATGTACATGTAAGAAAATCATTCAATAACATTGTTTTGGGGATGGTAAGTTGAAGAATAATTATTATAGGTTGGACCCATCATATGCTAATTGAGTGTAGATTTACACTTTAGACCCTTGAGAGGTGGGGTGGACGAGGACGATGACGAGGATGAGAGAAGTTCTAACTCTCGAGAACTTTATTGGTAGGATTCAAATCTATGATCTCAAGGTCATAAAGTAGGAATTATACCACTAAACCAAGCTATCTTGGTAAGTTGTATTATGCTTATCAAATGACACGTAATTATTATTTAAGGGTTGGATACAAAGTGTGCTAAGAAACGCGATCTTTAAGTGATTATGAGCTTCAATATAATTCTCACAAGTAAGCGTCATAGTCGTTTTCTATACTTAACAACTTGATCAAACCAACAAATACTTATTGATTAGATGTAGAGGGTCCTAATCAATAATGAATTGAATAGATGAAGACAGAGGCCTAAGGACATATTGAAGTGATTAGAGAAGATCTTGTTTGAATATATCTCCATCATTGTACTTCATTGTTACAGAATTCTTGAAATCTAGCTGAGATCTACATCAGTATGGCTAGCAACAACTGTAGTTTTTATTAAGATTAGAGGGACATTTTTCACTTAAAGGCTAAATTCTGTTGAAATACTCTTTCTGAATTTTGGTCATTTTCTCTGAAAGAACAATGACATCCCTATTGTGGGTCCCAGATACATGTGAATGTGTAAGATCCATACATAAATATAACTTCATAGCAGAAAGTTACCCAAAGAAGAGTCAGCCAAAGATGGACCTACTGATCTAACAATATGGTCTACAAATTTGGTGGCATTTATTAGTAAGTGAATGCCAAAGTCACTCCCCAAGAAATTGACAGTTAGAGGAGGAAGAAGGGAGGAGTTTTTGGTTGGGTTATGTGATAGTCGACCTGACAAAACTGACCATATCCGATAATCACTCTACCCGGAATGACCCAAAGTCTCGAGTTTTCAACCCGACCTATCAATCCCACAGAGTTGAGTCAATCCAAAACCTGAATTGACACAACCGGTTGTATTTATGATCTAATCCAAATTAACTTGACTCAAACTTGATCCAAATGACCCGATTGCCGGGTTATGTGATGGTGATCTAGCAACCCCAACCCTGTGGTGTATGTTAGCAAGACATGAGCATACTGTATAAACTGTCAACCTCGTTAGCAACTTTTTATAGGGGTTAGTGGGGCCATGTATACTTAAATTCTACAGTGTCTTTGTGTTTTAGGAAGTGGTCCTATGATATGATGATAATGTGGTTTCTCTTTCTCTTCAAATGTCTTTATTGTTCCTTTAATTGTCATATACTAACACATATACTTGCTACTATATAGTACACTATTATATATATATACACATTCTTGCATGAACAGGCTCCCTTACTGAGATGCATTAAATATGGTTGGACCCATTTTTATAATATGGTTGGATGATGCAATGTGTTATGGCTCTGTCAGTCATGGGTTCTTTTAATTCTCTCTCTCTGTGAAATCAGACAGTTCTTTGGTTATGTACATATAGGGGCAGTGGTTCATGTTTTAGTTTTAACCCTCTTCTGTGTTACTCTTACAGTGCTTCCACCTGAATTAGGCTTCAGTAAATTCTTGGTTTTTGTTTTTTCTCTCTCCTTTTTTGAAAGTTCAAACTTTTATTGTTCTGGTTTACCTTCTTACTTTTTGAAAGTTTTACCTTCTTACTTTTATTTCGAGTGAAAGTACTGGTTCATCCGTTCTATTATTATTGCCGGTATCCACTTTTTTTTTTTTTTTTTTTTTTTCTTACGTCCACTCATCTTTTTATTCCATCTCTTTTACTTTATCCACCTTTTTTCCCCTACACCCTTGCACTTTTTCCACGCATCACAATAAACAAATGTCTACAATAAGCGAGTTGAATTTTCAGAAATGAACAGATTTATACATAGTATATAACATAATGACAATTTATTTTATATTATACACCGTATATTAAAGTATGTAGTCAATTTTAGTAAAAAAATAAAAATAAAGTATGAATGTTGCAATGATAATTGTAAAGGAAAATGTTTGGTTAACCACGAGGGCACCCGTGTGAGTAAGTTAGAGATTGATCCTAAAAGATTATATTAGTGAGGTGAAGGACTAATTACATGGTTGATAACTTGATAATTCATTGTGCTTTGCCTAAGTACTAACCCATTGAATTATTTGTACTCTTGAATATTACAAAGTACATTTTCTTTTTCTTTTTCTTTTTTACATATTTTGGGATGATAATCAAACAGGCATGATTGACCTTTTCTCAATAATTTCTCTGTCACATTTTTTATAGTCATTGTACATATTTTATTTTCTTTAGATTGCTTTGAGATTTTATTCAACTTAAATTCCATGTTCTTTTTAGGATAATTGATGTCTTTTGCTAGCTTTCTCAAAATCATCTTGTGTCATAAAATACATTTTTTCCATTAAATAATTAAATTAAAATATTTGAAATATTTTGGCAGTCTGGCATAATAAGATTTCACTTTCAATTTTTTTTTATTTTTTATTTTTTAATTTTTTAATTTTTAAATTTCGAAGAAATATTAAATGGAGGAGCCATTTTTCAGAAGCATAGTCCAAAGACTGGTCCATGGGGTGATCCATGTATTGGAATTCGAATATGTGGCAGCTAGATTATTTGCATTTATTGGTTTTTTGGCATTAATTTGTTATGTATTTTCATTATTATATCTTAAATATCATAGTTATAGTCGATTCATGATTGAATTTTGAAATTCTAGTTGAATTAGAGAAGCATGTTTAGAGAGATGCTACACATAATCCCACATACACTTTCAATGGGTAGCTCCACCTCTCTGCAAGCCAAAAAAAAGAGAAGGAAAATTGTGTGTGTGTGTTGGGGGGGGGGGGGTGGGGGTGGGGGGAGTAATTGGGTTTAGGCATGCTGTGGCGGGAGAATGCATTTAATGGTTTACTTCTCGTCAACCTCTTTGCAATTAAAAAAGAAACAGCCTGTTCAATTGTTCATCCTTAAAAATAAATGGCCGGAGAAGACAACTGTAAGCATGGAAGCCATTAATGACAGTGAGTTTTCCGGTGAAGATAAATTATATTTTTTTTCTTGTTAATAAAATGCGCTAAAACTCGAGACAATTATGAGCTCTTCATACTCTTATTAAATTTCATGTTCTAATCTAATTTTGACAAACTACTGGAA